ACTTAAAACCTGTTTGGTGTAACTGGAATTTTTAATAGAAGTCATGTTGGAAAGAATCTGTTGTGGAAGTGCTGTTTTTAAATCGAATCGGAGATCAAACCGTTTTGACTTTTGGTTCACGGTTTGAGCGGTTTAACCGGTTATAACCTGTAAAACCATCGGTTTATTAATATAGTATAAATATATTATTTTGTAAAGTATTTCACAAGATATCCATTGAATGCGATGGTAGGTGGTTGCTTTCTCATACTCAATTAAAAATTGACTAAATAAAATTTGGTTAAATGCTAGTTTTGGTCCCTCAACTTTATAGAGTTGCACATTTTTGGTCCCTCAACAAATTTTTGCACTTTTTTTATCCCTTAACTCTAAAACTTGCACAATTTTAATCCTTCCGTCAGTTAAGTGATACTTGGCAGTTAAATATTCCAAAATGGCACTTTTTAATGACATGACTCATACAATTAGCTTACATGGAGTATGTCAAGTCAGACTTAATTGTCCTTATTAATCTTTTTCAATTCTTTAAATATAAAATTACTAAAATGCCCTTAATCTATTCTTCTTTCCATCGTTCTCCTCTGTGCTCTCTTTGTTCTCTTTCCCACCGCCACTGTTTTCAGCCATTTTTCCTTTGGTTGTCACTGTTTCTCTTCTCCCCTCCCCTCATCCCCTTCTTGGGCATGATTGGGTTCATGAGGAACCCAGAGACGATCTGGGTTCGTCATGAACTCAGAATGCCTCTTTCATCCTCTTTCATTCAGTACTCCACAATTAAAAGCAACATAAAATTTCAGAAGAAATGTCACTGTTCCTCCATAAATCTACTTTACCTTATTCTATCCTCTGCAAAAAGCATGTGTGAATCACCATGAATGAGAGAGTTAGCATACATCTTCCTGCAAAAACAAGGAATTAATAATGAACATTGTGGGTTTGCGACAAATAATCAAACTGACAATGAATCACCATGAATCAAACTGGACTCTAACATCAATATATTCAACAAATTTTACCTAATCTATGGCAACAAAGAAATGGGTTTGCGACGAACCCAGAAGAGATCTGGGTTCGCGACAAACCCAGAGCAAACCTGGGTTCGCGTCGAACCCAGAGCAGAGCAACGAACCAGAGCAGAGTAGAGCAGCGAACCAGAGCAGAGCAGAGCAGACTTGGGTTCGCGACGAACCCGGATCTGCTCTGGGTTCGTCACGAACCCAAAGCAAATCTGGGTTCCTCATGAACCCAGTCAT